AAGTGTCTAAAACCACCACTGGGTATGAGTCTAGGTCGAAATAGTGGCATATGAGACTTGGACATTCCACAACCTCTGTGATGTCACAAGTACTTAAATCTTGTAATGAAAAATTCGATGCTAATGAAATCATTCAGTTTTGTGATGCTTGCCAACTTGGTAAATCTCACTCTTTGCCATTCAAATTATCTGTTTCACGTGCATCAGCCCCGCTTGATTTAATTCACACAGATGTCTGGGGTTCTGCACCTATAAATTCTACTTCTGGTTTCAATATTACATTCTCTTCCTTGATGACTATAGTAGGTATACATGGATCTATCCCATGAGAAATAAATCCGAAGCATTAAACCTGTTCATTCAATTCAAAAACCTTGTTGAAAATAAGTTGATAGGAAAATCAAAGTACTCTAGTCTGATTGGGGAGGTGAATTTAGAGCATTTACTGATTTAGCTCTAAAGTCCGGTATTGATATGCGTCTCTCTTGTCCTCACACCTCAGTCCAAAATGGTAGAGCTGAGAGAAAACATAGACACATAACAGAAACCGGCTTAACTATTCTTGCTCAAGCAAGTATGCCTTTACATTATAGGTGGGAATCCTTTCACACAGCGACTTACCTTATCAACAAACTACCTACACCTATTCTGAAAATGAAAGCACCTTGTCAAATTCTAAACATGAACAGATTGAATACAAGTCACTCAAAATCTTTGGTTGTGCTTGCTTTCCTTGTCTCAGACCATATCAAGAACATAAGTTCAGTTTTCATTCCACAAAGTGTGTGTTCCTTGGCTTCAGCAACTCTCATAAAGGCTACAAATGTCTCAGTCCAACAGGAAGAGTATATATATCTAGGCATGTAATCTTCAATGAAAATGAGTTTCCTTTCCCGTCTGGTTTTCTCAATAAAAGAAACGATTCCCAGAATTTTGAAACTATTATTCATTATCTACCTTTCCACACTCCTCCAAATAGTAACCCAACTTGCTCAACTGATGAAGCTCATTTTGATGCAACTCCAACAACAACACCTTGAGTTTGATCAACCAAGAATGGTTGAAAACTTGATATCTGAGGAAAATGAGAATGAAAACACAGTGACAAATATTGAAGGCACCCAAATTGAAAGTCAAGAAGGTCCTGCAAATACTCAGATAGAGCAAACTGAAGCAAGTGATGAACTAAATTTAAGAGAGGCAGAATAGGGAAATTAGATTGTAAATCATCCTATATTACTAGAAGTAAAGCTGGTATGTTCGAAGCAAAAGTCTACTCAACTCAATGCAAACAGTATAGCATTGAACAAAGCGGACTAGAACCTAACAATGTGGCTGAGGCTCTTACAAATAAAGATTGGAGAGAAGCAATGGAGGATGAATACAAGGCATTGATGAGAAATAAAACTTGAAAATTAGTACCACCTCTGATCAATCAAAAGGTGATAGGAAACAAATAGGTTTTCAGACTTAAATGAGATGTTGATGGAAGGATATTAAAGCACAAAGCAAGACTTGTTGCTAAAGGGTTCTTGCAGACGTCACGAGTTGATTACCATGAAACTTTCAGCCTAGTTATAAAGACTTCTACTCTGAGGATAATTCTTGTTCTTGTAGCCTCAAAAGGCTGGAGTATCAGACAAGTTGACATTAACAATGCATTCTTGAATGGGAAACTAGATGAAGAAGTTTATATGCGGCAGCCAAGAAGGTTTTGTTGACAAAGCAAATCCCACCTTTGTTTGCAAACTAAAAAGGGCTCTTTATGGACTCAAGCAAGCACCTACAGCATGGTATGAAAAACTGAAAAAGACTCTTCTGGATTGGAAGTTTTCAAAATCAAAGGCAGATAGTTCTCTATTCTTTTACATGAATCAGAAACAAGTAATCTTTGCCTTGGTATATGGTGATGATATAGTAATTACAAGCAATGATCGGAAGATGTTGCAGGACTTTATTGATAATTTGAATGCACGGTTTGCACTGAAAGATATGGGTGAGCTACATCATTTTTTGGGAATTGAGGTAAGAAGAGGTGAATCAGGTATGCATCTCACTCAGATCAAGTATACAAAGGACCTGTTGAAAAGGTTCAATTTTGAGCATCTTAAACCTTATGCAACGCCTATGACAGTAGGCAAGAATATCTCAGAAGTGAAGGTGAAAAGATGGCAGACCCTTCTTTGTACAGAAGTACAATTGGTGGACTATAATACTTAGCACACACACGGCCTGATATAACCTTTGCTGTGAACAAGATGAGTCAATTTTTGCAAACTCCTTCAAATGTCCACTGGAAAGCAATCAAAAGAATCTTTAGATATCTGAAAGGGACTATTGAGCATGGATTATGGATTCAAAGGAGTTACAAAATGAGCATCACTGGTTTTGTTGATGCAGATTGGGCATCATGCCCTGATGATAGAAGGTCAACAGCCGGCTATTGTGTGTACTTGGGAGATACATTGGTGGCTTGGTCTTCAAAGAAATAACACGTTGTGGCTAGGTCCAGTATTGAATCAGAGTATAGAGCCTTAGCACATGCAGTTGTCGAGATAACTTGGATTGAATCATTGCTTACAGAAATCAAGTTATATTTATCTTTACCTCCTGTGCTTTGGTGTGATAATCTTAGTGCAAGTGCTTTAGCTTCAAATTCAGTTTACCATGCCCGAACTAAGCATATTGAGTTGGATATACATTTTGTTAGGGACAAGGTTCTTGAAGGAAGACTGAAAATTCGATATGTTCCATCATCAGATCAAATTGCAGACCTGCTAACCAAGCCCCTTTCACAAACCAGATTTCTCTTTCCTAAGGACAAGCTTGAAGTTAAAGAATAAACTCCAGCTTGAGGGAGGATGTTAAAGTGTATTATCACACCTCAGCAGTTCATGTGTTGAATGGGAGAAGTGACCAGTGCTAATGTGCACCTGTGGTGCTATGTTAGTTAGTTACAACTGTATCTTATTCTTAGGTGTATAGCACATGTAATCTGATTCTTTTTTCTTTTTTTTTTTTACTTGCTCACCACTTCAAAAGTGGCTATATATACTGTATCATATTCGGTGTATATCATTAAGTAAAATACAATTTTATCACACATTCAGCTCCCTGCTTCTGCATCAATTTCACCTCTGCAATATTATCAAATTTAAACTGCCCCCAATAAGCTAATTTTTGTTGCAAGAGTTCCATACAGGAGTTACTGAAATGTTACTTAACATTCTGCACATTGTTCTAGCATTTGTAATTCGTGATGGCTGGATGGGATTAGACATTGGACATGAAACTATAAATTTGTTTGAGGAAGCTCTAAAAGCTATGAAAACAGTTATCTGGAATGGACCTACGGGTGTTTCTGAATATGAAAAGTTTTTCACAGGAACAGAGGTGTTGTGCATGTGGCTCATATAGAGTGGAACACAGGTCCTGAATCAAATGAGCCAATGCCCGCTGTCTGGTTGTTAGGTACGCTGAATGGGTTAGGCCCCCGCGGTACGATACAAGGGATATTTTCTGTACGGGCCTTAAAGTCTTATATGAGTTCAGGCTAGGGTTAGTATAAACAATATGTTGTAATTCTATTTTTCACTACTGAATAAAGAAATCTCCGCCTCGCTCTCGTGGACGTAGACACACAGCCGAACCACGTAAATTCTTGTGTTTATTATCTTTTTCATCTCTTTAATATTGCGCATAAAATCCAACAAGAGGTATAGTAGATAATAAGATAATTCATAATTGTAATAAATTGTATTTTATGTCGTGTTTTACCTAGATATTTGAAATCAAATGCATGAATTGTTTATTCTTTTCCAGGATATAACTAAGGAATTGGCAGAGCTTAGCAACAAAGAAGTGACAACAAATATTGGAGATGATGACTCTGTTGCTGTTGTTGAAAAGGATGGTTGGCTGACTAGATAAGCCATATCTCGACTGGAGGTGGTGCAAGCTTGGAGCTTCTTGAGGAGAAACCTTTACCTGGTGTTCTTTCCCTTATTCAGGCTTAAGTAATGTTCTCTTTGTCGTGACTGGTTTCCAACCAGACTAGCTGAATAAGCCGGACCTATGGAATGATCCTGTACATGCAAGGAAGATAAACCGTGAACATGGTTCGCTTATGGTAAAAATGAAAGTGGTTATTGCATTTAAGCAAGAACGACTTTAGCGTATTGATATGATAACACTTGCACAGGAAGAGAATGATGCAGGATTGAAATCGGTGGGTCCTCAATTAATCTCTTTCGAGGCATGTATCCTTCTTTTCTTTTTATGGAGTTTCATACCGCTTCTACTTTTGACAGGAACCTACTCATTTATATTATTTCATTATTCTTTCCAAACTTCAGACGGCTTCAATAATGCCTTGCACATTTTTTAAAAATAATTGGATCCTAAATCTTGATTTTCCTTTATCTACATCTCTTGAAAAATTTAGTTGGATCATTGTGATGTATTTGATCCTAAATTACTATTGAATTATATGACTTTAGTTAATATGGAGTTTAAATAACGATAGATTATCAATATAATAATTTAAGTACAAGATAATAGAAATACGAAAGTTGGTCTTCGGAGAGTCACATGAAATGCTTTCCTTTAATTTTATGTGTAATTCAGAAGTAATATGTATTCAAAATTCATTTTAGTGGTTTGGGGATGATGTAAATATTGAAAAGATGATTCCTTCCTCACGAGTTGCATGCGAGATTAACTTATTATTCTTCTAATTAAACGGAATCTCAAAAGGCTCTACTTACAATGAGAAAAACATTAGCAAAAAAAGAGCTTGAAACTTGGTTAGCTGGGAAGCGTGATACTTCTTGTTTGATAGAGGTAAACTTTACTAATGGCCAACTTTTAGGTGCTTTTAAATATCAATAGGTATTTGCTTTTGAATTTTGTCCTTGTAAAAATGTGTAATTGTTTTACTATTTCTTGGTGGACTCGGTAACTTCGTTTTAGTCATATTATTATCTAGATATAATTGCACTTGTTGAATCAATTTGGTGAAATCAATCTTTTTCTACTAATTATAGTTCAAGGCGGAGCTTGTGGTACCGAGAGCATGGACTGGGCTTTAATGTTCATGCAGATGTATGAAAAGTGGGCTGAACTTCGAAGATCTAGAATTACAGTGTTGGATGAAAAGGCTGGCAAGATAGTAGAAATCAAGGTTCATGTTCTTATCACCTTTTATGTTTATAATGTTTAATATTTTCTGATGTTTAATTGAGTCAGTGTGCTCAACGTTATTGCCGTTTCTGCTCCATTTGTGTTATAAATTTGTTAACATGAAGTGGTGTGAACACAGAACCAATACCTTATGCCTCTCTTCCAAACTTTTTAGACTATTAACAGTTATTAGTAATTTTAGACACAGACAAATCAATCTTTGTAATATTATCTTGTATGATTTTATTGTCAATTGCTATTTGTTTCCTTACATATATAATGCATGTTCTTGTCTTTAAATATGAAAACCAAAATCCAGCATTGTGTTTAAACAATAACTTCCATTCCTTTGTTATAATGCAATCCCTCAATTTTGATCAACTGTCATTTCTACGTTTATTTTGTTGAAGGGGGTTTGTAACTTTAGTTTACATTATTGGGTTTTGTGTAAAATGGTTACAGAAATGGGAAGGAAAATGATTTGCCAAGCTTCAAAGAGTTCAGTTGGTAGGAGCCGAAATCTGCTACAAATGTGTTAATTTTTGAAAGGTAAAATTGCAGTAGCGATCCCTAACTTTTTCAATTTTTGCAAACTTTACCCTGACATTCAATTTGTGCCAGTGAAGGTTTCTAACCTTTTCTAAATATGCAGCCGAGGTCTAACTTGACGGAAACTGTCTATAAAACTATTAGTTGACCTAAAAAAATACAAAAAATACAAAAATGAGGTATTTTGACTATTTTAAGTAAGGGTACTTTTGTCCATACAAAATTTTCACTTGTTTTGAGAAACGACAATTAAACTAACAAAAGTAAAATATATATTTCCCCCCAACCCACCCCCCATATTCATCTTCTTCCCCCAAACCAACAAATAGTCCAAAATCGTCGTAGTCGCCACTTATATCACCGAACTACTACCATCGTTCTTCACTACCCCATCTTGCTATGGTGCTTTTCTTAACAATGTTTGCCACTTCTCATCTCCTTTATTCATCCCACATTAGCATAAAAAAAGAGTCAACAATTTTTTCCTTCTATTTCTTTGAGACTATTTCCTTTGTCATCGTGCTAACGTACACCTCCTCAACCAAATTCTCCTCAATCACTACCAGTTTTTGACCCTTGCCCCAAATCCCCCAACCCATATTGTGCTTTTGATTGAAGTTTCATTTTTAGCCCAAAGATAATAACTTTTTGGTCTGCAACTTCACTGTTGCCTTTCTATTTTTCAGCTTTGACTATTTTTTATGGGTGATGGTCCTCGAGGAGTGAAGGTTATGGGTTTGATTTCTTGAATGCAGGTTTTGAACTTTTCCTGGGAACCTGGGTAATGGATTTCGTGTGGTCAAGTTCTTGTTGGTAAATTTAATTGGTAGTGTATGGAGTGGAATTGGGTTCTCATATACCGTATATGTGATTTAGACACTGGATTCACTCTTACCGTATTTGACAGTTTAATTCACCGTATATGGCAGCTTACTGTATATGCCAGACAACTCACCGTATTTGGTAGCTTACCGTATATGCCAGACAACTTACCGTATTTGTCGCTTACCTTATATGCTGCCTACCGTATTTGTAGAAAGCTCACCGTATATAGCAGCTCACTGTATTTGCAGGCGAAGCACACCGTATTTGCACAAACTTTGCATAAAGTGTTTTTATTCATACACTAACTAAAATAATACAAATTTTTTCACTTACAATTAGAAATACCGTATATGTGAAATCTATTTTTCACACATATAACGAATTGAAAAAAAATCGTGTATTTTATTTTATTTTTTTTCATTTTAGAAATCTATTTCTAACATAAATTTAATAAAGAATATATGAGACATGTAAATCGCTAAATAAATAAATCTGCAATAATAAAATGCAAGCTAAATAAATAGCAGGTAAATTTTCAACCCGAAGCCTGTGCGAATATAGTTTCCTTAAAACAGATTCGCACCCTCACCATAAGTACTTGATGTCTAGTCTAAACGTCTGTTTTTCAAGATACAATGGCAAAACCAGCAGAATCTGAGTACTACAAAAACTACTCCGGCGAACCGATTTAGCGTCTGAACAATATCACCACCATGACGACTTCACTGGACAGAAAGAAGACGACAACAAAATCTGAAAAATTTCATGCAAAGAGAATTTCGTGTGACTTCCTGGTGAAATTTTTTATATGTTTTATTGTTGGAAAACTTGAAATTTAATATAGCATAAATCTACCATGAACTCTATGACAATTAACATTGGAGTCACTTCAATTTCTGGGAGTTTTGAAAGTTTCAGAAACTCAAAAGTCAGTGGAAAAAGCAAAAAAAATTGCAAAACGTGGGCTTTCCGGAGGGACCAATTTTTGCTCCATTCGGTCCGACATTCGTGTATGCAGATCGTGCCCACATACAAGTTCAAGGTCCGAAGGAAATTTCAGCCCGAGATTTGCACTCCCTGCCCGCGCACGTGGAAAGAGCCTCTATGCTGCACATGATTACACCATTCCAATGTGTAATCATATTTAAAGTAGTTCTTGTTTTCATATTTTTCTTATGTGGGACTAACTTCAATTTTTCCAACATAACCATCTTTCAATGGTCATCTTTGAGTTCCAATTTCTCATTCATCCATTCATCAATTTTGACAAATAAATATATGGTTTCGATGCTCTCACGAAGGAGAACAATGATCAACTTCGATCTTCCAAATTGGACCAATGGGTCCCACCGAAAATTTTGTCAAAAGTGAGACATTTACTCATTTTTTTCAACGGTTCTAAGTGAAAGTGACATTAGTGGTGGTGAAAAAAGGGAGAAGTGGTAGCATTGGGTGGTGGCAGGCATCTTATAGATGGAAGTGGCAATGATTGGCGAGTGATGGAGCCATTGTTGTCGTGGGTCAGATTTTGGGATGGGGTAGGTGAGACGACTTTTGATATTGGTTTTCATTAATTATTTATTATATAAAATATGAAATTACTATTTAACCTTTTAAAATTGGTCAAAATTTGATCAATCATTTGACTTTTGGTCAACTAACGGTTTTATAGACGGTTTTCATCAATTTGAACCTCAACTACATATTTAGGAAAGGTTAGGAGACCTTAATTGGTACAAATTGAAAGTTATGGTAAAGTTTGCAAAAATTGAAAGATTAGGGTCCATTGCTGCAATTTTTTCTTTCAGAAAACATTATTTCAGAGTGTGTGCCGAAGGCTCCCAATGTAGTGTACAAAGGATTTCTTAAAAATTATCACTGGATTGTTGTCAAGCGCTTCAATAAGTCTACTTAGCCCGATTCTCGCCAATTCCTAGTTAGAATTTAGAGTTTACTATTTTCTCATTGGAGCAATGAACAATTCGTATAATATGTAAGATGTTTAAGCATTGGATCAATGATGCACGTTAGAAATAGGATTTTTTTCTTTTTCTTTTTTAGGTCTCATTCTGGTTTGAAGTGCAAGATGTAGTCATGTAGTAGCAAAATAGCTTTTCGAATTTTTATATGAACTTTAAAATATCACTTGAATTTTATGCAACTCATGAAGCAGTAATGGGATGTCTATATCGTGTATATTCGTTCTTACAAGTAATGAAATATTTTTATGCTAAAGTCGAAGAAAAAGAGAGATAAATTTAAAGATGTACTACATTAATTATTCAAGTAATACAAGATTCGCACGTCCACAAATTTGAACCACCTATGCTAAAGTTCAGATTTTGAACATTTAAAATTTAGTTATCCGCTTAGAAGTTAGAACCCATCAAACAAGAAGATCTATCAGAATTTGAGAACATTTATCCATCCATGTACTCCATCTAATGTCCAAGTATTAGTGCTATTTATTCAATAAAACTATTTAATGTTCCAAATCCCGAAAGCATTCTAAATGTACAAGTCACTTCATTGCTTAGTTAAGTGCTTCGTCAATAAAACGATATTTAACTAATTTGATCTTACAGAGTAGAATCATCTTGTAAATTGAGTTCTTCGCAATTATGTCATGTATAATAAAAGTATATAAATATTAACAATCGTTAGCTTACTCTGTCGAAAAGAACTATATTACTACGATGTTTACAATTGCAAATTTAATACTGTTGAACACAAAATATTATAAACTGAAACAATACATAACTAACTTCAATAAAAAATAATTGCAATGAGAAGTTAAATATAGTGAATACCAAATGTTCATATAAAGAATACAAAATATAAAAAGAAATGAAATGAAAAGTAAATTAATTTGAACCAATTTATGAATATATTTCACATTTACAAATGAATTTCTCTCAAATTTACATACATTACTTTTAAAATTAATCGACTAACATGCAATGCATGTTCACCCAACAAACCATAGACAATCATGATATTAGTTCATATTACTTTGCAATGTGTCATTGGTAAAGTAAAATGTTGATGCTTTTCAAGAATTTAACATTCGAGATTTTCACATAGTAAAATAAAATGTGAAATTAAATGAGACTTACGAAATGTGAAAACCCTTTTGTACTTTACAATTTACAAAAATAAAGGATGACAAAATGCATTGCTCCACGTATTTTGATAAGTGTATTTTATACATTAATTTGGACCGTTAAATGAGATTAATTGTAATAAATTTTGATGACTTATGACTTAATTAGATGTTAATTTTGTTTATTAGGTAAAACTCGAGGCAAATTAGTGTAACTAGAAGAAATGAATGAAAATGGGCAAAAATGAAAAAATTCAAAGTTCGAGGACCAAAGTGTAAATATTCAATAGTAAATTCGAACTATAAAATGATGATTGATCTATTGGATGCAATATGAAGTCAAAGGAGTGAAATATAGAATTTGTGCTCCGAAATTTTTAGCCTCAACTCGAGACCCATTTTTCAAATAACAAACATGCAAACTAGAGAAATTGTACTGCTAGAATAATTGCAGCTTTTTGAGTTATCTTTTTAATACATTTTGAATCGTCTCAATCGGATATCGAAAAAAACTTGTAACCAAAATACCGAAAGGTGCTCGGGGATATTGCAATTCAAACCATTGCTCTGCAATCATGGTGCCCTCGGTACATTGCCTTCACCAATTCGTAGGGATGTCAATTCTCGTCAAAGCTCGGCTTGTGGGCTGCTCGGGCTCGTCAAATGACGAGCTCGAGCTCGAGCCAAGCGGCTTGTCCAAAAATGTGGAAAAAAATAAAATTTTATTAATAAAATTTGAAAAATTTGCAAAAAAAATAAAATAATAAATAAATAAAATTTCACGAGCTCGCGAGCCGCTCGTGGGCCGAGCCGAGCTTGAGCTAAACTCGTGGGTTAACTAGCCGAGCCAGCTCGGCTCGACCCACTGCCATCCCTACCAATTTGAGAACGATTTAGATCAATGGTGCACACGGGGGAGTTATGCATGTGTACTATTTTCATAGATGAATCAACAATTTCCTTTCATTATTCTAACTCTTTTTGAACTCAATTGGACACAATTTTGACCTAATTTTTTTTTTTTTTTGACCATAATGAATATAAAACAATGGTTATACATGGGAAAAAATCCTCTTTTGCCTCTTCATATATAATAGTATCATCACATTTATCAAGAATAATGAGTCAATTATTATATTTCGAGAGAGGAGAACAACATTGAAATTTAATTACATCAAGATTTTGAAGAATTCAACATTGAACTTGAAGATCTACATCTTTTGAACTATTTCATGATCTGGATGATTTTTTTTATTATTTTCCTTGTAATTTATATATTAATATAATAGGTTAGATCCGCTTTTGTATTAGATGAAGATGAACCCTACTTGTTACTGATTTCTAATTCAAGATTAGTAGTTTAGTATTTCTTGCATTTCTTGATTAAATTTGCATACCAATTGTATTATTTAATTGATTGATTACAAATTAGATAATTAGTAGCTTATTGTAGTGTTAAGAGACTCATAATAAATTTAGAACGCGGCAAAATTAACATATGTACAATATATATTATGAATGATATTTATCAATGTGTAATCATATAGATAATCTAAACTTTAATGCATTCCAACCATTCAAATTCGGGCTAGGAATATATTCGAGTTGGGGTTAGGATAGATTTGATTTGTTTTGAAAAGGAAAGTTATATATCATAGCTTTATCAATTGTCGAGAACGTATTAATGAAATTAAATTATAAATTAAGAATTGAAATAGATAGCATTAAGCAGATTCTAGATTCAATACAATCGCCCATATTACAGAAATCCTAATTCTACAGTTTTCTTAGATTACTTTAGAATAATCACAAAATCAAATTCTCTTTTATTTACAAAATTCGAATTTCGTACATAACTAGTAAATTTGAATTGAAATTTATTTTCTGTGAAATGATATTTTCAACTCATTAAATCTATTACTTATCAACGACCTCGTACGCTTACGAGTTTCGCACGAACATATTTCACTAAAATACAACCTGCATAGTACAAACTTAGCAATACATCAATTTTATGCAATCAGATAGTTTAACTGAGAGTAAATTTAACTAATAATCGCTGAACTTTA